GCTGGGGAGGGAGGAGAGGGGACCCTGAGGCCGCTTGTCCTGGAGGGAGTTGCTGGCCCTGGAGGGAGCGGTGCCAGGCTCTTCCGCCCTGGCTGCTGGCAGGGCTCGCAAAGGGAGCGAGGGGCCGGCCTTGAGCGCGTGCTCTGGCTGCTCATGGCGCATACTCCCAGCCCCCGGCCTGCTCGCTGTTGCCTTGAAGGGGAGGATAGTTGCAGAAAAGGTTTCGCAGCAGCGTTACCGTAAAAGACAAGTACCCCTCACAGCTGAGGTGGCCAAACCTGCCTCCGTGGGTTTGGCCCTGGTGGCTTTGAGTAGCCGCCAGCCTACTGGCCCCCTCAGCTTGGGAGCGGGGCTGCTAGCGAGCGCAACTCCTTGGACCTACAGCCCCTCTTCCTGAGGCAGCAGCTAGGGGTTCCAGCCTGGGGCAGTCGTCTGCAGCCACCACCCTGTCTGGCCACCTGCCCTGAAAAAGGACGCGAGCTGGGTGCTTGTGTTGGAAGGAGGCAGATCTCGGCTGTGATGAACTAGAACAGCAGCCTGACTGTACGGAGAGGGCTGACGTTGCGTGTGCCCGCGACACGGAACAAGCGTAGTAATCCTAAACCGGGATGTGTGTACAGGGAAAAAGTGAGATGGAACATGAGGAACTAGGTATTGACGTAAATCTGTTCTTGCGAGTGCTCTGTACCCTTCCAAACAATGTAATAAGGCAGTTAATTAAAATGCAACCCCACCTTATTTATAGCGTCTCCCTGTTGACAACTTGAGTACTGCTGGTTTTAGACGAGTGGTCTGAGGCTGAGCTTGGTTTGGACATACCCACTGGCAGTCAGGAGAGATTTGGTATTATAACTCTGCCCAAGAGTAAAGAAATTCTTAAAGGAATTTCCTCTTCCTGTGACATCCATCATAGTAGTCGAGATCGACCAATTGCTGCTTCCACAGGTATTTCCTCTGAGGTGTTCCTGCATGAACTTCGTGACCTACAAAAGGACAAATTTCCCCTCCCTTCTCCCAGAATAAGCCCTTACAGGAGCAGGTGGCGGTTTTGAAGTTAGCCTCTAGCTTAGCTGACTGACCTTCTCTGTGCTTTCTCTATAGCTAACGGGTTCCTTCAGACATCAGTTGAAAGAACCTTAAGGTTTAGCTCCTTAATCTTCATCTGGTGGGGTCACTCTCGCTTCACCGAATGCCAGAATTTAATGAGATGAGCAGGCTAACTCAGACCGGCACCTAAAGTTAGCAGTAAAAACACTTCTTTTTAGAGACCAGATCTCATCTCCAAACACTTTTTAGAGACCAGATACTTGATTCCCTCACCTTCCTTCAGAAAGCAGAACAAAGGGAATGCATGGACTGAAATACACGTGCACCTATCGGTCCTACCAGCCAGTCTTGCTGTGGAAGCAAGCGGGGTCATTTTGCCAATGTGTTTTTCTCCAGGAGGTTTTTAGCTTTTTTAGAAGGTTTTTCAGAACTCAGGGCAAATTAACCATTTTTTTGTTTTACTTTTCTGAAAGTTTGCTTTCAGCCTTTCTAGCTCCCAGCCCAGTTATCACCATTGTTCCTCAACGGCACAGAAACCAGAGCTGAATGTGTGGGCCCCTGGGACATGATCTTTTGTATGGCAGGGCGGGAAGGGCAGCACGGTCTGCGGTCTCTTGAACCTAGGGCTGGCTCCGGGCGAGATGGCCATCCCCTTTCAGTCTTGCTGCAGTGAATGAAAACAGGACTGTGCTCAGTTACCCACCTTGTTCTGTATTGGGGGCTGCTGCTCCTGCGTCAGAGTCAGCAGAGGGAAAGCAGACCTGTACCTTGGCTGCTCCATCCTGTCATCAATTAGAATTTAACGTGAAAAAGAGCGGGCTCAAGCATGCCAGGGCAGAAACTAGTCGGTCTACAGTGTGGGCATGGTAGCAATTCCAGCAGAGGTGTAACAGGAGACTTGGGACAGCGATGTCTTAAACCACTGAAGCTGGACGTGGGTCAAAGCCCTGGCATGTTCTGGGTCAAACCATTCTTTAAATTGTTTTGTCCAGTCTGGTTGGAAGTACAGAGGTGCCTGAGGTCTTTGAAGTTTTAAAGGAGCTTAAAACGTGTTGTCTTGACTAGCAGCTAATACAGTTCCTGAGCTATCATTCCTGTTGTGTATGCTGTGACAAAGATCCCATAGGACAATACTTGTTTTTGCTAACTGGGTGCTAAACACCTCGCCAGTCTATGGCCAGACATCAACAGTCTAAAGTGAATCACATAGTTGAACAGCCACAGGAAATTGTGTGCAAGTCCTGCAATAAAGCCTTTCGGCTATTTTATTTTATTCTACAAATAGAGACAACTGTCCATCATTAAATGGCAAAAAAAAAAAAAAAAATAGTTTGAGTTGTATATAGCATGAAACAGCAGTTTCCTTCACAAAAAAACCCATTTCTAATTCATTAGTTTATTACAAAATATCCACTCACAAAAAAGCACAAGCACTATCTTTATACTTGTGAAATGAGTTGATATTTCATATACAAAATAATTTCCACATAATTCCATATAATTTTATTTTATATAGAAATAGGTCATTATTACAACAGCTGTACAATACACTACTTTTTATTTAATAATTACATAAAATCTTTCTTAGAAACATATCAACAGAAAACATACAAAAAAAGCGAAAAGTGCATTTCTTTCTTTTTTTTTTCCCCCCCTCCCCAAAGGAAAATTCAATCCTAAATGTTATAATGAAAGAGATATGTAATAGTCTGCAGCATCCCGAGTCAGTGGGCCAAAACACAGTGCATATTCCCCAGAGACTTGCAGTAGGCGAGTTATTTAGGTTGAAGAAGGATCCGTGTTGCAGTGTCGGAGAGTTGCATGGTTGTGGTTCTGTTTCGCAATCACAATTCACATAGAAAACAGTCCAGTGTGGGTTGTGGGTTCATTTGTTTGTTCCTAGTCGGGTCAAACAGTTAGGGTAAGCTGCATAATACTTTTCAGACTCTAAATCAAGGGTTATGACATCTTCAGCAACGACTGGGCTTTCTCCTCCACTGGATGTGCTAATTTGGCCACAAGAATAAGGAGACAAACTTCTCTTTACAGAAAGTGCCTAGGTTTTGTCCTCTGTGCAGTTGTGCAAAATAATAACAATAATCATAATAAAAATAATCTCTTGTTCTCTCCTCGATAGACCTTTGACGCAGTGCTTTTCATACACAAAAGAAGAACCGAAACAGTGAAGGCCAAGTACCTCATGAGTCTGTCGACAGGCTTTTGGAATCGCCAGATCGCTTTCAGTGAGACGCCAAGACTGAACGCCTCCTCCCGTGCACCCAGGGGGGACGGAGGCTGTACAGGATAGTGTTCCTCTGTGTGTTGCTCTGCCAGTACGTACCGTGCTCGCGTGACAGCGCAAGCTGCATCCGGCGTGCCGTAAACGCGCTGTCTGTGGCAGTCTGCGCTCTGTGGCGTACTTCTGTCACAGAGCTTTGAAAGGAAATACTTGTGCAAAAGCCGAAACAGTAATTACAGAGTCATTCTCTTCTGCCCTGTGTGCCCATTGGTTAAAGCTAATCGTGCATTGATTGTGCTGGTGGGACTCTTATCGCAGTGGCTGTGGTAAGTTTGACGATTCCGATAAGCTATTGCTTCTTCTTGATGTTAGTTGCTGCTGCTGCTGCTGTGTCTGATGATATCCCAGATTTCCTTGCTGTGGCGAGTAAGGTGGCAGGAGCAAAGAATCGGGTGGCTCGCTGTGCAAAGAACTTGGTGTTTGCACCTACAGATAAAATAAAATTCATCGTGGTGTTCGACTCTTTCACATGTTAAAGCTCTTCGCCCTCAGCATAGGGAGCGCTTAAGAATACGACTACTTTGCTGGCTTTCATTGCTGGGGCTGTTTGGCATGGGGTTAGATTACCTAATGCTAGAAGGAATGGGCATAAATCACAATAAAGAACATTACAATTAGGCATTGAGAAGAGTTTTCTAACAGGAATGTGCTGCCTAGGATTTGCAGGTTATCCTGAAAAGCTGGTTTAGGAACGGGGTGGGCGAACCTGCCAGAAATGACCCAGATGGATGACAGAAATGAAACTCAAGTGGAACAGGGAATCCTAGTGTACCTCATGCTGCCCCTTCCAGCCCCTCCCTTTTGTGAGTTTACAGCGGGGTGTGACCTTGCAGTGGTGAAACCCGTGTGCATTTTGCAGATGCTTTTACGGGGAGCGGTATCTGCCATAGTTTTTTCATTAATTCTCAGCTTTGATAGGGATTTCATTTCAATAGCAAAAGTTTAATCATTTGAGGTTGATGATACTCTTTCAGTGATGCCAGTGGATATGTGATCAGGTTTTATAGACTCAGTTCAGCTCCTTTTGAGTTAACACAGACACCTAATTTCCCCTCTTCCCCATTACTTTAATATGTGTTGAATTAGGTAAAAAGTATTTTCACATCTTCAGATCACCTGGGTCTTCCAGGCAATGTGCTCCAGTTTATCTTCTTTGCCTTGTGGAGTTGAGAAAACATGTTAATTTACTGAAGGGATCCAGATATCTGATCTAGATCTCATTTTATGTCGATGCTGGTAATTAAAAATAATCTTTTGACTTGTAAACTAAGCAAAATTTATAGCAAATAAAGAGTACAGAATAAATCCTAAGGCAGCAATTTTCTCCATCTAGAAACACACTTTAAATATATCCAGGATAATCTGATTATCTTTCCCATATGGAAGGGTACACGGCACTGTATCAGCGTCTCACACATTTCAGTATCTCTAAAATGGCCATTGCTGCCACGACCGGGCTCCCGCTGAAACCTGGGACCCCGTTTGCCAGAGCCCGCTCGCTGCCTTAGTCCACCTGTACATTTTGTGCATCATCCTCTTTGCCCTACCCTACCTGCAGGTAGCGTTGCTGCTGATGCTGTTGGTGCTGGAGTTGCATAGGTGGCAGAGAGGATGGCTGGGAAGGAGGCGGAGTGGCGAACCCTTGGTTTAACACGGCTTGTCCCATCAGTATGATTGGAGAGCTGCTGCTGGAAGTCTGCACTTCCAAACTTTGAAACATCTGTGGCGTTTGAGAATACCTGTGGAAGACAGAAGCAAAACAGTCAAGAACAAACTGTTGGAAGCAAAGGTCTTCTCATAGGGTAAGGATGGTAGTCCCTATTCATCATAAATAATTCCCAATAAAGGATTCCAGTGCACGGGGCCTGGTAATTGGAATGATGGCACCATCAGCAGCACTGTTTTCCCCTACCCCGTGCATAAGCTGGACTTGGAGGGCAGAATGCAGCTCACCTCAAAATCCAGACCACATTTTACATTCATTAAAGATTCTGGTTCCTGCGTGTCTTCTCTTCAGCCACAGCATTTACATCCCAGGCTCATTAAACCAAAGGGCCGTTGATTCTGTATGGATATGCTGAGCTCTGAACTGCAGCGCAAGAGAAGTGAACACACCTCCCATTCTGCCTGTGGGGTGGCAGAAAGACGGCTAGGGCTGAGTGCTCCTTACGCTGCTCATACGCATATTGCCACGGAGGGTCAGCAGTTCCTGTCACTGTGAGCCGCGTCGTTGGAACAGAAGGAGCCTCTCGAAGTCCTCTGGCATGAGGGATGGGGCAGAAACAAAACACTCAGCTCCTCTTGCCAGTCTGCTTTTGCACAACAGACCTTAAATGCATGTTGTTTTGTGGAAGGCCGTGGGCAAAACCGCGATGGAGCTATTGCCAACCCAGCCTAATTCTGTTTATCCTGTAATGGGTGATGAGATCATCGTGTGGCATGTGTGTTCGCTCAACAGCTGTTCAGCATTAGGGGTTAGTCAGGAACTCTGTGGTTTGGGTACTTGAACTGGGATGTGAGCTCCTAAAAAAGGGTCCTGTGAGTCAGGAGGTCCATATAACTGGGAGAGGTATCTTTGCAAACCAGGCCTGTTTAGATGCTTAAAAGCAGATCTAAAATGTTGTATATTTAAAGTCAAAGAGCTTAACTCGAGATAATCTTAAACTGCAATAGCGATGTTTAAAAAAGCAGCACTGTGTGCCGACATTGCCGAGGTGAAATATGGAATTACCTTTAAAGTAATGCTGTGCAAACCAGCTGCCTTGTTCTTTTAGCCGTTTGCAAGCAAGAACAGTGGGAAAAAACAGCTAAGAAAAAAATTCTGATGTTTTCTGCTTCCTTCATCCGTGTTTTGAGGAGACAAACGACCGAGGCAGTAGTTTGTTTCGCAGCTTTTCCAAGGGTGCTTGAGGCACCAGGGTTCTTTCGGTTCTGCCGGTGTAGGTTGTGTGTAGCTCGACTGGCACCTGTCACTCGAACTGGGCCAGTGCTGACTTTCTCTTTCACACTGACCATGGTGGGCCAGAAGTTCCGGTGCTGAAGCAAATCAGCATCTGAGGGAGACGCTGGAGGGAAGGAAGGGATGCCATCCAGAA